CTTTTAAGAGTGCAACATTTAAATATTAGCAAATTTTGCACTGTTTGAAAAGTATATATTTAATTTTTAATGTTAATATTATATCTTTGTAAAGAACTTATTTCTGTTTGTATCGTCATATCAAAAGGAGAAAAGTGTAAATGTAATTTAGGTCAGACTAACATATCTTACTTAATTTAAGCATTAAAGATGTATATTTGAAAGATCTCAATCTCTACATGTTCTGCAAATAAAGCCAGAAAAACGGTACAATAAAACACCATTCATCCCATAGAGGTTGGAATAACCAATTACTTAAAAATTTACCATCTGTTCTCATTGAAGCAACAAGACAGGCATTTATTTCCCTGTGTTATAAACCATGATAATCAGAAAGTAACAGAAATAAAGGCTAACATCATTTTCCTCCTTTCTTATGTGCTGTGGTGGTTCTTAATGAAAACTTGAGTATACACACAAAAGAAAGGGGAGGATATTTCCCCACCCCATCTCCTAATTGAGTGCCTATATTCAGTAATAGCTTTTTGCTGCCCTAGGCAGCATGACATTGCCTCATATGGCTACGCAGAACTATTATTCTAGGAGGCAGCTAGTGAAGTGCCCCAATCCATCTGCTTGCTTTTTCACGGGCTGGTGCTTCCCTTGATGTTGACAGCTGTCTTAATATTCCTGGGCCACCTGCCACACAGTAAATACTCTGCTCTAAGATATATACAGAAGTCTTATCCCTCTGGTGGACTTTTCAGTACAAAAAAGCTTAGCATTTCTGAACTATTCTTGCATCCTAGTTTAAATACTTCAAAGATCAGCACTTTCAGGTTATTCTCATACTTTTGAGAAATATAGTACTTATTCTTGGGGAATGGTAATTCGGTTACAGTGTGATGAGCCTCAGGTTTTCTCATTTATCACATAAATTATAAATTACAGTCTTTTTGTGGAAGTTAGGTGGTCGCAAGAGGCAGAGAAGAGAATATATTGACAGTTATCTCCTCTAGTGAACATTCTAGGAGCCCTCTAGACTAAGTTGGGGACCTACATTTGCCCATAGAAAGATTCCCCCTGCCTTATTTGCTCATCTGTTTTCCCCATTAAACTTGCTCCTTGAGGGCAAGCACTTGGTTCTTATCCATCACTGTATCTCTACCTGTAGGAATGATCATATAACTGACACATAGTGGGCACTCAAGGACAGATCGAGATTTTATGGGATCTGAAGTTTTTACAATTTGGGGGGATGCTCTTTAAAGAAAAATAATTTAAGAATATGAATGAAAATTTGATTGAAATGAATATATGTAAAAAAATAAATTATTCAAATTTCCAATTTTTGAAGATTGACTAATACTTATAAACATAACAGTCTAGAAAAAATAATGTATTTTTTATTATCATCCTGGCTCACCTTTATAATTTCTTTCTTATATTGTTGGTAACATTCTCTTTGATAGTGTTTCATATAATTTTCTAATATTTTCTATACAAAATAATGAAAAGATAATTCAATCTTTCCACTAGTTCAGTTGATCTTTATTATTGATAGAAAGGCTGTGTAAACATGCAATGCTACACACACACACTTACTGTTTGTGGTACTGCTACAAGTTTGTTCTCTATGAATAGGAATTCTGATAAATTCTATTTTACATTATTTACATCAGAAAAAGAGAAATGTTTGGTGCATTTACAGTTATACAAAATCAGATACACTATATTATTGAACAAATTACTGTTATGAGAGAAATTACATGAATTAGAGGCAATTCTTCTTGCAACTTTGTCTTTGATGCCTAGAATAATTTTCCACATGCCACCTGCTGCTGCTGTACATTTCAAATCTCATTTCACCTCTACTACTTACATATTTTCAGTGTTAGGAGCCATAGGATATGTTCGTGTCTTAATGAACATATTAAGACATGATGCTGGCCCTGCATCTTGGCTAAAATGCTTGGTGAGTTGCACAATAGACAAATTGGAATTTAAGCAATAACATGACCATATTCGGAGATGCTGAAAATCACATAAAATATATCTCAGAATCCAAACCAAATATATGAATATTCCCCACTTCAATTCCCCAGCAGATTCCCAAATGTTCCCAACAACTCTAACACCAACTAACTGTAGAAGTGTAATGGAGGAAAAATCCAAGTGGAAAGAGATTGTGGTCTTAATCAACTTAATCATGTTAAAATATTTGTCTGTATATTCTACAAAACACACGACCATGGATTACATTGATGAGTTTACACTGGAAGAAACTGCCAGTGATAAGCCCTGAAATGTGAGCTTCATCAGCGTCACAGTAAATGTTTGTCTATTGTAGGCACACACTAAATGTCCAGGAAATAACTGGATGAATGAATGAATGAAGACAACAATGCTAAATTAGTATCGTTAAGATCCTTACAACTCTAAAATTTCACATTTTTATAGTCTTACCAATGCAATCTTTGGACTTAGTATTTAGAAATTTCTTAATGTGAATTCAGATTATAAGAATGTAGGACATCTAAAAAACTGACAAATATTGGAAAAGCAAATAACGGAAAATTTAAGGGTCATTGTTTTATGTCTTTAAGCTAACTTTTCATAGACAAGGTTTGTCTTAATGGAGGAATGGTTCTATTTGTATTTAAAATTCATTCCAGCAGTGCTTTGTTCTGCCACAGAGTGGAGATCAGAGTATTGTTAGATATTTGTTTCTTTCATGAAATAGTTGCTCTTGAGAAAAAAATATATCATGGGTCTGTATTGCTCAACTGTTCACTTTAAGGGCCTCTAATAACATTACATTATCTTCTACCTTTGCAAGCTGTCCATTAATAGAAGGGATTCTACCTGGATTAGCATTAGCATTATTTCTACAACACTGTAGAAAACTTGAAGATTAAGAACCTTGTATATTGTGATGTTACATTCTGATGCCTCCTCACTTACTAAGGAGAGGGGTTATTGGAGAAATATGTGGACTATCACAGCATTTTCCTTGAGAGCTATTTTTTAGAGAAAGATTATTATTAGCTAAAACCATAATTCATTAATAAATATTGCTCTCACCCACTTTTTTTTTTTTTTTTTTTTTGAGACAGAGTCTCGCTTTGTTGTCCAGGCTAGAGTGAGTGCCATGGCGTCAGCCTAGCTCACAGCAACCTCAAACTCCTGGGCTCGAGCGATCCTTCTGCCTCAGCCTCCCAAGTAGCTGGGACTACAGGCATGCGCCACCATGCCCGGCTAATTTTTTATATATATATCAGTTGGCCAAATAATTTCTTTCTATTTATAGTAGAGACGGGGTCTTGCTCTTGCTCAGGCTGGTTTTGAACTCCTGACCTTGAGCAATCCGCCCGCCTCGGCCTCCCAAGAGCTAGGATTACAGGCGTGAGCCACCCCGCCCAGCCTCTCACCCACTTTTATCCCCAGAAAGACTTCCTAAACAATGTACCCTCTGAGTATAGGGACCTGCTTTGGTCATAGTATTATACAAGTGGGGGGAAAATCTGGTAGTCATTTAACAATGTTTGGGGGAGATTAATTATTCTCTGGGCCTTCTAGTTGCGGGTAACAATTTGCTTCATGCTCTTTGCTTTCACATTCTCTTTGGGCTTTTTGGTAAGTGGGCCTTTAATGGAGATTCTCTCCTAACATAACAAAGCAAGAATTGGGAACTTTGCTTTCTTGTTCTAGTGTATTATCCTACCTTTTTCCTATTTTTGCAGACCCACAGAGAAATAGGATTTGGAAACAAGTAAAAAAGGGTTAGTCTTGAGGGATACTCTGAGATAAACCCAACTGAAGAAAACTGAGCTGATTGAACTTTGATGGGTTACATCCAGCCAGAACAAATTAGAGTGAGTGCCTTGGCTCTGTTGCAATTAGTAGGAGCTGGAGGGCTTGTAGGAGGCCACCTGGGGTGGCAGGGAGGCTCAATAGTCACCAGCTGGTGCTGAAAGGACCTGGGCTTGTAAATGCACAATCCACTTCTAGCAACCTTCTCCTCCATCATCCCAAAGCCAGAAGGGAGATCACGCCAAGGTTCCTCTCTGCCATGGCTGTTTCCTTTTTAGCTCACTTACTTGTATAACATTTTTAGTAAAATGTTTTAGTGAAATTTTTAGCCATATTACTTCCTTGATTTCTACACTAAGGGCAGCTCGGCTTTAAACAAAAAACACCTGTATGAACGGGCCTCTCAGTGTTTTCTGTACTAGTTGCTAGGGTATAAACAACGAAGACAATCCATACTATTTTATTTAGACATTTATTTTAAAGCAAGTCTTAGGGACCTTTTGGTTCCCATATTTCAGTGATGTCCGGGTAATGACTACAAAATATCTTTCAGCATTTACAAGGCTGAATCCTACTTGTTTTCGATCGGTGTCGTTTTGGAAGAGTTCACGTAGTATGTACTATAGAGTGTGAGAAGTTTAGAGCACATCTGGGTTAGGAAAACCTACTCCACAGTAAACCAGCAGAACAGGACGCGAGTTGGTGACCGCTTGACAGGTACCGCCCGCACCCCTTCACCTCTGAGTCTTGGACCTGGGGTAAACGCCTCCTTCGCACTCCTGGTTAAAGCACTCAGGAGTGTCTGTCTGTCTGCTCAAAGGCAGCCCGGGGCGCCCTGGTACTGCAGCTTACCAGGTGTTTTCACAAACTTTAGTTGGAAACCTCTTTCAAAAGTTTGCAAAACTTTTCCTGTGCTCTTAGAAATCAGTAACACAAAGTACTTGAACGCAAAAGCCGAACAGGCTGCAGGCTGAACTCTCTTGAGGAGCAAGGCCGGAGCTCCATGTAGCGCCCAGGGGCTTCCTCCGCTCTCCGGCCCGCGCCTCGCGGGGACCCCGCGCGCCCGCCCGCGGCGTGGCGGCTGCGCCCGGCTCGGGGCGGCTCCGCGGCCGTGGCTCCTCCCGGGGGCGGGGCGGGCGCGCCGGGCGCGGGCGGGAGGAGGAGCGGCCACCGCGGCGCGAGGGGAAGCCGCGCGGGGAGCGCGTCGCGCCCGCGCCTCTCCCGCCCGGGATGGACTGAGCCGAGCCGGCGGCTCGCGCCGTGTCAGTCCTGCCTTCGCCGGGTCCCGCGGCGCCCGGCGGGCTCCGGACACTGGGCACCACCTAGCCCGTTTCCCGCGGACGGGCCCCGCCGCGCCGGGGAGATGTCCGGCGGCCGGAGGAGGGGCAGCGCCCCCTGGCACAGCTTCTCCCGGTTCTTCGCTCCCCGAAGCCCTTCCCGGGACAAGGAAGAGGAAGAGGAGGACAAGCTGGGCACGAGCCAGCCTTCCGCTCCCGGCCGGGGCGCTGCCAGGTGGGAGTCGCGGGGAGCGCCGGGGCCTGCGCGGACTCGCGGGCCGGGGCCCCCGGCGTGACGGCCGGCAGGGAGCCGCTCTCGGCCGGGCTGCAGTTCGCTCGCCACTTTCTCTTCTCCTTCCTCCATTGCTAAAGTTTCCTCCTCCTCGCCCAGTCCCCAGTGCCGCGTCGCTCCCCTTGCCTTGGTTAGTGAAGTCCGGGCGAAGTTCTAGCCCGGCGGCCGGGCGCGATCCCCGGAGCCCAGCCTGGCTCCCGCTCCCCTCCCCGGACGTGGCTCCGTCTCGTCCCGCTCCGCGCGCTCGGCTCGCCAAGTTGTGCGCCAGAGCCGCGCGGCGCCCCGCCGGCGGTGACGGGAAACACCCGGGAGCCCGCCGCACCGGCAGCCGCGGACGAGGGCGCGATCCGACCGCGCTCGTGTGGGAGTAGATGGGGCAACAGTGGGGAAGGCGACGTTTGCGGCGTCACCCTCCCCCCACAAGTGGTATTTTGGCGTGTGATTGAAAGTTTCTCAAAATGATATTGTAATAAGAATTGCGATAATGAGTTCCCAACACTTCATCAGGATGTAAAACTCTCGCTAATTTTACGTACCGGGAACTGGACTTTTAAGTGATGACGCCCTCATTCTTTCCCATCTCTCTTGAGAGACATATGCCCCAAGTCCCCGGAGTCTAGAAAGGAGGATTCCAGCAGTCTTGGTTTCAGTACTCAAAACGTGCCCTTCACCTCTACACGTCCAAAAATCGATTTTTTCTAGATGTGTCTCATTGAAATACCTGTTCCTGAGTCTTTTCATCCGTCCTGAAGGAGATAGAGGGGTTAAATGAAATGCAACTCGCTGTCTTAAATTTTTGACGAGAGAAAAGGCTTACACTCCCTCCTCAGATTGCACTAGTAGAGTGTGTTACCTGTCATTGGAACGATACACTCCAGAAAGCAGTGTTTACTTCACACTCAAGATTTCATGTTGGGCTTCAAAGAAAAAACGGATGGGAAACAGAACTGTGACCGAGTTAGTTCCATCACTATTCAGGTTTTGTGGTGTGATTTTCATCACATGTGTGTTCCTCAGTTTCCCTTGTGAAATAATTTCCATAATGACCATCTGTTAAGATAACCATATCTTTCCAAGAAAGTTCTTACTATAATTAACTGGTTATTTTCCTGGCATGTTTCAGCTATTATTGCCCTGACTGTTGAGAGTTTAAAATTCAAAGTTAACACAGTGGGTAAAAATAGTTTTGAAGTCTGACAGGTCTCAAGCAGGATGTCAGATAGTTCTGCTGGTGTGGACAGACAGCTTGAGATGCCTGCCATCACTGGAACAACACCAACAGTCTTGTATGTTGTGAAAGCTGTCTGTGAAAGAAATTCCAAGTAGACTCAGCAAAAGTTGGTAACTTGAGAGTCAGTGTTAGAATGGAGGAAACAGGCCAATTTCAGGCTCATGTCGGTATTGTCCTGAATTATGCCTGCCTCACTGCCCTGTTTTGGCTTTTTAAGGCACTTCTCATTTCTAATTTTTTTCCGACTGGAGCTGACCACTCTAGCAGCTAGTTCCTTGTCTACCTATCACTTCTCTATTCTCATCATATCCAGATAGGCACCGACTGTGACTTTTTAAAATGAAAATTTTAATTATGCTTACATGAACACTAATTTTGTCTTCATCTTTTTTGGAACTTGCCAGATGTTAAGGGGATAGCAGATAATCCTTTGTGTGGGTGTTTTACTGTTTTAAATGAGCTTAAATCTTTCATTTCAAGGGTATAAACAAACACAAAGCCTTTATTGAAAGTTTAATGAAACAAATGGAAACGCTTAGTAGTACCGAATGTCCCAGTAACACTATACTCCGGTGTTAACAAGATTGGAAACAGAATTGCAATTTGTCACTGTGATCTTATTTCAAAATGAAAAGGATATTTTGGCTGTTTCTCTCTGTGGCAGTAAAAACTTTTCGTCTTAATGAGAGCCAGATTTACCTTTTGTGGTGGTGGTTTTAGATTCAGAGGAGTCAGTTGAACAGCCAGACGGGGTTGGTGTGGTAGGGTTGTAAAGATGAGTGAGAAAAGGGGTCCTTTTTCTCAAGGAGCTGTGAGAAACTGAGAAGACCACTTGAAAACAGTACGATTAGCACCTATCATGTATCTGGCACTTTACAAATTACCTTCGGTAATATTATTGACAAACCTATATCATCAGTGTCCCCATTTTACTGTAAAAAAAAAAAAAATCAGTGTTAAAGAAACTTGCCTAAAGTCACGTAGCTGCTTTTTACTCAGCGAACATATATCAAATCCTGCACTGTGCCTGCAGCTCTGAACATACAGTGATTACTGTCAGCATTCTGGTTTTTCAGTGTACTGAAAATGCATTCCCTCAAACTTGTGTGTGCAGTCTCCTTTTTCTGCACTCAGTGTTGATTTACATGAATTGTATTATGTAACTTATACATGTACAAATACAAAATGGGACATAAGTTCCTTAAGAAGAGAATTCCTTAACAATTGAAAGACAGTTAAAAACTAAACAAACATAATTGGGAGACCAACAAAAGTTGAATTTTCAGCGTTATCCTGACAATTTTGGCTACTCACAAAATGCGTATGGTACCAACTGACCCAAACACAGGGTCTTTGGGGAGTGCCATGATTGCACTATTCTGCCTCGTGATACAGGTCTTCTAATGTTTCCCTATTTTGAACCACAGGAAAACCTTTATGGTATGCTGTGAGTTATATGAGCTTCACTTGGTGTGAACACATCATTTATGTATTGAGTTTGCTGCTTTTCTGGTCTCTTTAACCTTCCATTATTAATAAAAGTCCTGTTAGCATCAACACGGTTATATATTCACACTCAGGTGTGGGGACTCAAATTGCTTGACAGCACTCATATCTTGGGTTGTTGACCAGTTCCGGGAAGTGCTTATGTTTATTTTGGATAATATAGAAACAAAACTGCAATTGAAGTTTTCATAGGATACTCAAGAACTCCCAGAGAATCGTTGCTGCAGTCTTAAGCCCAGTTTATGAGCACACCAGTATGGCTTCATTAGAAGTGATGGGGGGACCAGGGAGGGTTTCATGGTGGAGGTGATTTAACTAGGCCTTCAAGGAATAGGTGATGTTTCTATATGTAGAGAACTTATCCAGGAAGATGGGAATAGGAAACAGGTATTCTAGGCTGAGCAAAGGCCCACAGGGGTCTATGATCTGTTAGGGGCTATATACATTAGTGGGACAGAGTGAAAGGGGCAGTAAGAAAGTTAGGTTGGAGCTGAGTCTCCAGACAGAATGTTTGGCTGTTGATTTAAAGTTCAGAGAATTTTTACAAAAGCCTGTTAAACAGATACTGCTGAAATGTGAAACTTCAAGGAATATTTGCCTGCTTATTTTATCTGCTTTAAGACAGTGATTGCTCAACTTTGTTTTTTTGCTGTATCATGCATGATGGACCTGTTTAAAATGAGCTCTGTGCAATGTTTGTAACTCCTCAGAAGGGAGATAGTAAGGTAAGAACAGCATTTATCAAGGACTGAATGTGCACTTACTCCTGGGCTGGGTACTTTTACTTGCAGCATTTTATTTAAGCTTCACACTCAGCCTGAATGGTTGGTACACTTATCACCATCTAACAACTGAGAAAACTGAGGGTGAGAGAGTGCTTAGTGCTGGATGCTGTAGGCATTTTGGGTGGAACAGTTCTTTGAACTGGACTGTTTCGTCCATTGCAAGACATTTGCCCATGACCCCACCCACTAATTGACAGCATCCTCTGGTCATTGGGATAACTTAAAATACCTCCACCCAGATGGGCCGGGGAGAGAATGGTACCACTCCCAGTGGAGAATGATTTACCCAAAATCATTAGAGGAGTAAGTTTCAGGGATGAGATTTGAACTTAGGTCTCTAACTGCCTCCAAAGCTCTGGCTCTTTTTTCCACACCATCCTGCCCGCCACCCTTCTGAACTCTCATCCTTCAAAACACTTTTGAATATGTAAGTCAACGGGACCGTTCCTCACTTTGCTACAGAATGGGTGACAGTGCGGCACATTTCAGATATCTTTCTTTTGGCTGTTACTTAGAGTGACCCAATATAGTGTCGTAGATGGAAAGAAGGTAAGACAGGATCACTAGACTCAAGGTCAGGGGCTGGGTATTATTCATCTTTGTGTCCTCTTTTACCTATTTCAGATGAGGAGTGAATCTGTGTTTGTTGATTAAAACGTTAAAGCTCTTAATAGTGACTTCCAGCTAGGGGTAGTACACTCCCTTCTAAGTGGATATTTAGAAACATGGAGGGTTGTTTTTGCTTGTCCCGATGTCTGGAAATGTTGAGCGGTTGGGGCCAGGGTGCTAATGGACTGTGGTGTAGGAGGTACCCTCTTAAAACTGTCAATAGTGCCTCTGAGGACAAGCATGAAAGCTGTTGGCCTTCAGGTTAAACTATTAGTGTTGACCATAGCATCAATTATGTGAGGAAAGGGAACTTTGTTATCTAAATTTTCATGGTGATTGTATTTTTACTGATTTGAAGCGCTGTTGAAGATAACTGGTAATTAGGTTGTTGCATAAGAGACTCCTGTGCCACACCAACACTTCATACTTGCAGTAGTAAAGATAACTGTCAAATTCTAGAAGTCCTCACAGGTGTGTATTTTATCAGAATCTTGAGTTCCCAGGTTAACACAAAGCAAGAACCTACTCTTGTTGGTGGAGTTGAAATACAAACTGTTTTAGAGTGTCAAAAAACCTACCTTTTTCAAGTGATTTCCATCTCTTGGGTTTAATAGGGTGTCTATCATATGGCTATTTTGAGGCTTCTATTTCTTGGAAATTGACTCAAAACTGTACACTCTAAATGTGTTAGAGTTACAAGTGTACCACAAATTGACCTGCAATAAATTTATGTGATCAAAAATTCAAGCTTTATTGAAAAGTTATAATAACATTGTATACAATGTAACATTATAAACAATGATGACATTTTTAGGATTTTTATTCATCACAGTAGAAAATATGTAAAAAGGATAATAGCAAATTTTGTATAGTAAGAGGAAAATAATATTCCCTCAAGACAAAATATTTCATTTCCTAACCAGACTTCCGATGATGGTATATCTGAAGCCCAGATATACCAGAAATGCAAAATAAAACTATGGTAACAAGAAAATGTAGGTTGATGTAAATTTAAACTAAGTAAAATAATCCAGGCTATAATCTGAAAAGAGAGAATCAGTGTGAAATAAAAGTTAAAGAAGTAATATTTATTTTGAATCTGTTCAATCCATAAATCAAGTAGCTGCTATGTGTCCAAAACGTTAAGCTATGAAGATACAAAGATGAGTGAATGTCCAGAATTGCTCTCAAAGAGTGCACAAATTAATGGAGGAGATAAATGTGTACATCTCTATTCTTAATATGATCTCAGTTTAAGCCAAACATGTTTTTGGAATGTGTGACTTGTTTGGCTCAGAACACAGTATTTCATGAATGTCATACATTGTATCAGAACTTTTATTGGGCTGCCAAGTATCTTCTCATATTATTAAGTTTTTTCTGGCATTAGTTTGGTTAGCATTCTTGGCCAAGCCAGGCAGTGGGGGAGATGTGATAGTAGCTGTACCAGCAAGGTGAATGGAAGTACTTTCCCTTAATTCCTCTTGCTCCTCCCTGACCCTGCAGGCTTGGCAGGGCCTAGATGGAGGCAGAAGAGTGCATCCTTTCAGCAATCAAATTCCATATGAGTAGTGATCCTCACACAAGATGGCTTGATGTTGGTAGTGAACAAGTTGAAGTTTTACAGCCAGAAATAATTCATTCTTAATATTTATTTGGCAGTTGTGAATGAGAAAGTAATGGTACAACTCCAGCAGGACTATCCCTCAATGTTTAAGTCATGGAAGTATTTAATTGGAAATATCCTAAAGCACTGAAACAGCTGTTTGCTTAGCCAATTGTTTTTTTCTTTTTTTTCCTTTTTCCTTGACTGATTAATGATAACAAAACTGAACCACCCATTATTGAAGCCCTAATCAGATCCAAGCTCTGTGCTTGGGACTTGAAATGTACAAATTCACTTAATCCTCAGAGCACACTTTTGAGAGAGGTCTCTTTACTCCATTTTACAGATATATAATTTGAAGCTTTGGAAGGTTCAGCAGCTCATCAAAAGTCGTATAGCATCTGTGGGGTGAAATTTTCCTTCTGAATTCAAAGCTTACGGCATGATGTGACAGTTTCCTCTGCTTAACTTGGGAAGACCCACAAAAGAAGGCTGGCCTTAGAAAATGGTTTTGAATGGGAATAAAAGACAATGGCATGCAGCTGGATGTCTGCCCAGATGGACTGGGTCAGTGCTCTGTACAACCAAGAATTTGTAGTCCTGACGATAGAGAGACTAAATGAATGTATATATATTTATACAAATTATAAATTTATATTTAAATACATAAAAGAGTCAATCTCCTTCAAAAGAGAGATTCAAATTAAAACTATAACAAGATACCATATTCTACCTATTTGATAAGTAAAATTCCAGTTTGATGTGGGGAAACTGGAATTGTCATACATTACCAGTGGGAGTGTAAGCTGATATACCACTTTGGAGGGAAATTTGACAAGTTTTGTTAATATTACAGATTCACATATTCAGCATTTCCCCTCTGGGAATTCCATCTGACACATACAATTTGCAAACAGGCCAAAAGTTGCCTATACAAGTTTAGTCACTGCAGCATTGTTTTAATGGCAAAAGATGAAAAATAGAGTAGAATCCCATGAATTATGAACTAATTGAGAAATCATAGTATATCCATGTAATGGAAATTATGTAGCTGTCAAAAACAATGAGAAAGCTTTTTATGTACTGACAGGGAAATATCTCCAAAATACACTAAGTAAAAAAAAAACAAGGTACAAACTATTGTGTATAGTATGTCCCTATTTGTATAAAAGGGGGTATGAAATCTGTTATTAGTGTCACCTGTTTTGGGGGGATGGGGACCGAGTGAAGATATGAAGAGCAGGAGAGAGACTTCATTTTATACTTTTTACACTTAAAAAATGTGAAATATCTATTTTTGAAATTAAGAAAAAACTGGATTAAGATCTGGTGGTGAATGTCTGTGTCTAAAAGAAAAAAAAAAAAAGAGAGAATTTGTGATCCCAAGTTGGCAAAAGTTTTCCAAAGAGAGAATGGACTACATTAACTTGTTCAAGTGAGAAAAGTTCTAAATAAGGCTTAATAAATAGACAGAAGTAGTATTTATAATAAAGAGTGATTTGATATTTTGACATTTCCTACAAGTATGAGTGAGGCTTACATATTATTAATCTATAATGTGAAATTGGGTGGAGTTAACAGTTAAAACCACAGAATTATCAACGTAAGTTGATTTTATCCACCTTGACCTGTTGTGTGACTCTGGACAGATCATTAACCTTCTCAGAATCTTTAGTTATAAAGTGAAGGGAGTTTGCAATCATCTCTAAGGTCCCTCCCAGCTTTAGCATATCTGCCAAAACTCTGTAGGGTATAAGGTTTGTACAAAATTAATATGCCTTACAGATTAAGAAGACCTTATGTTTTATTTAAAAAGTGACATATGAAAATGTGTTAATTCTTCCATGTGCCCCTAACATTTTTGTCATTTGATTTGAAAGCTTCACCTGTGTTTAGCAAGAATTTAGTACCACTTGTGCCAGGCACTATGCTACGCTTTCAAAATCCAGTAGTGAACAAGGTACAACATGGTCTTAGCCTCAAAACACTCATGCAGTTTTGTAGTGCAAGCAACATCACGCAAGTATTTCTTCTTTCTTAAAATAAGTACTAAAGGGGCATGCAGGGGACTATAGAAGCATTTAACAGGTGTGAGCCCAATCTTGAGCATTTTTTTTTTTAGAGGAAATTTTAATCTCATTTAAATCTCTGTTTTTTCTGTTATTTCTGTACGTGTATCTAAATAGTGTTTTACTGTTCTTTCTTGATTGGTGAACTTTATACAATATGTATTGACTTCTAGTTATGATAGATGAGCACTTAGCTATTTTATATCCTTCCATATCCTTTCACTCATCCAACCAAAATAATTGTTATAATTTTAGCATTAAATCAAAAGTCAGTCTTTAGATTTTTATGACTATATGGATATTGTTTTCTGCTAAGCCAAGTACTATACTATGATTACATTTCTTGCAAGATCTTCCGTGTTTTTTTGAGAGTAAATTACCTTGTTTTTCATTTCCTTATTTCTACTACTTTTAGGATGCAGAAACATATCTATAAACTCAATGCTTTTTTCCACACCATTGTATCACATCTGTTTATCCCTATGCCCTTCAGGACCTTTCTCTGGACCTCTGGGCCTGCTTTTAATTTGTATATTAGAGTCCCTACTTTCAAATTTCTTGTGTTCCTCTTTGTTGGTTAACTCCCCTTTTTTGTATATCCAACAAGAAACAGTGCATGTGAGATAAATTTTTTTCAGTCTTTGCATTTCTGAAAATACCTTTTTCTACTCTTTTAAATGATAGTTTGTGTATAAATTTATAGGATCAAATTATTTGCTCTCAGGGTTTTGAAGACATTATTCTTTTCATTCTATGTGATTGAGAAATTTGATGCCAATCTGATTTCTGAACCTGTTTTTTGTGATTCGTTTATTATCTTTGTGAATTTGGAGAATATTGAAATCACTTTTTAATTCAAGCCCTAGAAATGCACAGTAATAAACCATACATAGTCCTTTATTATTAATTTTGCTGAGCAATTGGCAGACTCTTCCATCTGAGAGACTTATGTCTTAACATTTAGGGTGGTGAGTTTTGCTCAAGCTCCCTATTTGTGGTCTGTGCTTTGTATTCTTCTATTATTCTTGGTATTCTGGAGCCTGGAGACTTTTCTTTTAAAAATTTTGTGATGTGTACCAGCTGGGGGATGGACATGCTTGAAGCTCTGACTTGAGGGGGGGCAAGGCAAATATATGTAACCTTAACATTTGTACCCCCATAATATGCTGGGAAAAAAAGTCAAAAAAATTTTTTTTCCAGTCTCTTGCCAAATATCTATTTAATTTGGGGATATTAGTTGGGGTGGGGGTTAACAGACATTCTTCTACTCTCTATTTCCAGCCATGTGCCTTATCACCTACTTGGGCCTCCAGGTCTGAGATTTTTCTGGAGTTGTGTCAGGATACACTGAAATGATAGTTTCCTTGTCTGCCTCAATTTACATTGCAGTTTTATCTATTATTTTTTAAAACATCTTTTTATTAATCCAAATAATTATACATATTTATGGGGTACATGTGACCTTTTGTTACATACATATGTAGTGGGCAAGGGAAAACTTCCCCTTTGCCCTCTGCAGGTTTGCTGAAAAATCAAATGACATAAGGAGATTAATGAGAGAAATGACATACAAATTTATTAGTGTACCTGGGGGAAAAGCAGAGTGATTACTTGTTATCTGAGAGGCGTATAGATGTTTTTGTACTCTACTTCTTAGTGGAAAGGGAGATAGAGAAATGTGTATGATTTAGTAAATGATGTTTAGGGGAATTCCATGGGCTTCAAGAACTACAGGGGCTTGGGACAATGACTGTTGGGCCTGCAAGGTAGACAGTGATTTGTGACAAAAGTCTGTCCAGGTGTGTTGATAGACCTCAGTCTTTCTTCCTGCAATATGAATTCAGCTAATGAAAACTGAAGGAAGGGACCAGAGGTAATTGTTTTCTTCTTTGGCAGGTCCTTTAGGCAGATAAGGGCTCTTCAGAGAACAACTTCATTCTGTGCTTTGAGAGACAGGTTTGGAGAGAGGGAAGGTCAGAGAGATCTGTAGGCTGCTACTTTAGTTCAACATGTCAAAGCACCATATTTTGGGGTATTGGTTTCTGAGTTTTGTCTATGTTTAAAATTTTTAATTGATGTTTTGCTGGAGTACATACATAATGGTACGTAATTTTTACAAGTGATTATTTTGTTGCATGCATACATATGTAATGCTATACGCCTCTCAGATAACAAGTAATCACTCTGCTTTTCCCCCAGGTACACTAATAAATTTGTATGTCATTTCTCTCATTAATCTCCTTATGTCACTTGATTTTTCAGCAAACCTGCAGAGGGCAAAGGGGAAGTTTTCCCTTGCCCACTACATATGTATGTAACAAAATATGTAATGCTCAAATCAGGGTATTCGCGATCTACATTACTTTGTGTTTGATAGGACAGTAGGGTCCTTATAGTTAAAAATAGCATATTATATATTTCAAAATAACTAGAAGATATGAAATGTTCCCAACACAATTAATAAAAATTTTATCCATTCCAAAGCATTCTTCTGCCTACTTTTCTCTCCTTCAAAATCTATCTCATGAGTGCTTTTACCCTTCCTCTTGTTACATAGTAGCTTATTTCCTCTTATTTATTTCTTTATTGTCATTTTAGTGAGACTTTTCTATGGAACAGAGTTAAACATGTTCTCTCCTGCTTTTCAGAAGTAGCTAGAAAATTTATCCAAACATCACTGTTGCCAAACATTTTATTCTTTGAGTATAAATTGAACCCTTTCACCTAATCTCTCAACAGTGGCTATTAGGAAACAATTGCTAAAAGATTACAAAATAGAGGTTTCTTACTATCTTATTCTGTTTTGTGTTTCTTTAAAGGAATGCTGGAAGCTGAGTAATTTATAAAGAAAAAGGGTTCATTAGGCTCATGATTCTGTTAGCTGGAAGGTTAAGATTGGAGATCTCCATCTGATGAGAGCCTCAAGCTGCTTCCATTGGTGGAAGACAAAGGAGAGCTGGCTTGTGCAGGGATCACAGGTGAGAAAGGAAACAAGGCGTGGAGGTGCCAGGCTCTTTTTAACAACCACCTCTCAAGGAATTCATACAGTGAAAACTCACTCACCCCTGCCCCAGGGAGGGCATTAGTCTATTTATGAGGGGTCCACTCTCATGACCCAAACACCTCTAAAATTGGGAAGTGCATTTCAACATGAGGTTTGGAGGGCAAACATCCAAACCATAGCACTTACATATTTATAAAATCAAATATTATGCTTTAAGTACTAATTTCAGATAAGCTGTTGGAACAAAAATATAACTCACTGTGATAGGCAGAGTTTGAAGATGGCCCCCAACATATTTATAAAAAAGAGTGAAAGAGCATATCTTTTTTGTGTTCTTTATGACAAGCAGCACAAATGGCAGTGCCAAAAATGACATAAACATGGTATTTGAGCACTTTCACAAGATTAGTTTCATATAATTTCTAGAAGATTTGTTAGACATTTCTGCTTTACTCCTTGTATTAAAATTTATACAAAAAGTGGATACTACCTCAGTGACAGATGATAATTTCCTTATCACTACCATGCTTCCTATGACAAGGAATGAAATATTTGGAATTTTATGTTTTAATAACTGGAGACAGGTTAGGCGAGATATAAACTCTCTTGCCTTTTATTGTCTTGCTTATTAAAGCAACAAGCAGCATACCCAGGCTAGAAGAGTGGCATTGTGCTATTTATTAGTCAAAGCTGAAAATGTGAACTATAGTGATTCTGTTTCCTTGTTCTAAGCAGGCAAAAAAGAATCTTATTTGGCAATGTTGTATATATTATGATACAAAGAAATTACCATTATGTAAGATTGGTGGTAATGGTATTTTGTTATTTAAATTCATTGCTTACATTTTTTGCACTGACTTGTGTTTGCTTTCTTTTTAACCAATTGTACTACTTTGCACTTTTTTGTCTTTTTGGTAGTAGTATATGCTTTTGCAAAACAGGTGTGAAATTATAAGAGAATCAAAAGAAAAAGCACACTCATGACCCTACCTACTCAGAGAAATATATTATTCTTTCAGATCAATTCCTCTGTGTGTGTCTAAATATGTTCTTGTCTACATGTCTAAATGTTTTTACAAAAAGTAAAACTTCTCTAGGATTTTGAAACTTGAATTTTTTCACTTAACAATAGTGCTGTAACATTTTCAACAACATACATATATAAATTATAAAAAAGAATGTAAAATTTAATTCTTATAAAAATCTTAATTATGTCATCACTTTTCTGAATCTGGTTTGAATATCTAAATGGCCAAATACAAACTCTGCTTACATGGAGCCTGTATTGTATTGTGGGAGGGCAGAAAATAAATGATATAAATTAACATATGATGTGCTTTGAAGTAAAAATAGGGTGAGGGAAAGGGGGCACAATGGAAGTGGTGAGTCTAGGGTAGGGTGTAGACAGGGTGGTCACGAAAGGTCTCGCTATTGGATAACATTTGAACAATGACCTGGGTGATGTCTGGAAGTGAGGCATGAACAAGCCTGAGGCAGGAACTTTCCAGGCAGAGGGAACATCCATTTCAAAGGTCCAAGGGCAGGATCATGTGGCACAGATGCCAGTATGGACGGAGACACAGAGTGGAAGGAAGAGTGGGTATCTGTGACTTGGGGAAGGGGGCTGGAGCTAGATAAAGTAGGACTTGGTAGGCCATAGAAAGGAGTTGAAATGGTGAATTTATTTTTTGAAAGTATCACTTAGGTGTACTTTTATTTGGTGTGTGTGTTTAAACTCATACATGTATTATCTGTTTATCTATGTCTGGTAGAGTGTACAGAGGAGGAAAGATTAGAGCCGGAGGTGAGGTCAGGCAAGGTCAGTGTCTGGGGAGCTCTGGGAAGGCACAATCTTGGGTCTTCAGTGCAGTGCCCTTTGCTTGGGACAGTTTGTAAAATGTTACATGAATGAATGCCCCACTGTAGAAAGCAGCTGGAAAGCAGCTGGTTCACATCACAGCAAAATATTCAGGGTGTTGATTCTTTTGAGGTGGGTCACAAACATTCACTATGTGAAGAGTGTGAGTAGATGGAGGACTTTGGGGAGAAGAGAGCAGTCTCTCATGGCAGGTATATGGTAGACAGCTCAGACAAATCAGACATACTGAGATTGTCACTCTGTAGCCTGCGATTGAACTGTAATTATGGGTCTTGTTTTGGGGGCGTGAGATGGGGGAACAGGAAATTAAAGCAGCTTCAAGGTAGATACATAAATTATAGGAGAGGTCTGACATTATGGAGAAAAGGAGTGTAAGAAGTCTATGATTGCAAAGCAACTGAACTTCATAATCATGACTACCTTGCCCCTCTCCTCCTGATTTTTCTCCAGAGTTTTGAAATCATTCAAATGCCAGATGTTTGAACTAAAGTACATGCTGTTTGAGTGCCTTAAAATTGCAGCTTGTAGTTACCTTTTAATTTGAAGCCCAGAAATAGTGCCATAACCACCTGTTTTATATTCTGTTAATGGTCATAAAAAAAATACAAGTACCACTCTACTGCTGCCAGTCACCATTTATGAATGGACAGTTTTCCAGATGGTTGTCTGTAAATCATTGGTGTGGAACTCTGTCTTTTTCCCTGTAAAATTGGACCTGCTGGATGTGGCTTCGGGCCAGTGCACAAAAGTCAGTTTAATCTATAACATAACTGCACTATCATATCAAACAAAGAGAACTAGGGAGCTTGTCATGTGAAGCTGTGTTTCTAAGAAAAATATCCCCATGGTAATGTAGATGAGACCCCCGTGACCTTCAGGAGGGTGTGGGGATAAAGTCCATATTATATTTAACGATGCAGGTAAGGGATAAGAGGAGGGAATCTAAGAGAATAGAGGACAGGCCCTTGATGGGACCTCAGTAACTTTGAATTAAAGGACAGTAGACATTTTTGCCTCTGTCATGATGTCCTGATGCTAGCTGGTTTGATTCTTAGTTGGTAATAGTCTTTCTTTCTCTTTCTGTACCACAAAAGCCTCAGGCTTGGTCTGCCTGTTTCTTTTTCCACTCATCCTACCATTGTAGATCACAGCAGCATGGGATTTTAATCTGGCAGAGATCTCATATCAACTGGTCTGACCCTTTCAGTTCACATAATTGTAAACTCAGATCCAGAAAGAAAGAAGGTGCATTTTGATTAGAGTGCATTTTGTCCCTAATGTGCTGTCGCTGAAACAGGCAAATGTCGACTTTTGAGTTTTTGCAAGGCATTTTACTGCTACTGACAGTGGGAGAGGTAGTAGGTAGGTAAAGATCACTTCTGCTTCTGTATTATTTTTCATTTAGTCCAAGGGAGAATCTTACCTGTAGGACCGAAATATGATTTGATCACATTTCAGGGGGCGGCTGATTTCTGGCTACTTCTAGGGTTTCACCACAGGAGTTGGGTCAAGTGGGCTCAGAGGAGAGGAGCAGCATTTCAGGGAGGGAAGGCCTAATGAAGTTTCGGTAGACGGGGAGATGCTGCTTGGTGGACCAGGCTCCTGGAAGTAGCAGAATTTTATATTAGTGGGGTAAGAAAAAATGATGGAGAGATTTCTCTTGATTGTCTTTCCCTGTTGTCAACAATATTGCTGGTTCCTCTACTGCAGAACGCACCTTGTGCAGTGGAAGTGAAAGTCTCCAGTGGGAAGATAATTTCAGGCAGCATCAGGCTGAGTGGGATGGAGAGGAAGGAAAGAAGGTACATCTTCAGCAGAGGACCCTGGAAATGGTGAAATGTCCTCATGGACAATGGGTTGAGGACACTGTTTCTTAAATAAGGACATTCCCAAATTAGGGACTGCCTCATGTGTAGTAACCTTGTGTTTTGGGGATGCTCTGAATTACTGTCAGTGATGTCATTAGCACCAAAGATTACCTCCTCTCTGGAAATGGCAAGAAATCATAGACTCTAGCATCCAGAGAGAAATGGGCAAGTCTCCGGAAGATGGTTATGGAAGTTGTATTCAGGTCTTTCACATTTCTAGATTTTTCTGTTGCAGCCACAGTTATGTGTGAGAGAGAGGGCATAGGAGAAGGAGCAGGTACCCAACATGTGTTTTCCAGGAGGGAAGAGGTGAAGAGCTTTACTCTCCCTCACTGTGCCTTTACTGCTTTCCACTGAGTATACCTGGTATTCCTGTGAGTCCATCCTATGGCCATTAAAGAAGTTGCTTTCTTACCACCTGTGGAACTGACTCTGGGAGAAGCCCAGCAGCTTCCCTTGTGCTTCGGTCTATGGTATGGATTGAAAGAAAGAGATTTTTTTTCCTTGTTGGTCATACTCTGTACTTTCAATGATCTATGTCAGGTGTCCTCAAACTACAGCCCATGGATATTTTTGCCTGTTTGTTCTTTTACTTCAAATAAGATATGTGCAGTGTGCAAGGGAATTTGTTCATAGCATTTTATAAACTATAGTCCAGCCCTTCAATGGTCTGAGGGACAGTGAACTGGCCCCCTGTTTAAAAAGTTTGAGGACCCCTGCTCTATGTGCTCATTAAGGTAACAGCTCTTCTTGGGGCCAGGAGCTTTGCTGAATAGTAGTGTTGGAAGATAGGTAGTGTCCCACATGAGTGACTTTTATAAAAATTGTTACCTATTCTTTAAGTATCAACACTTAACACATTTAAATAGTGTGAAGTGGAGAGATCATTCTGTCTGGATTTTTCTCTTCCCTATAAAACTATCAGTTGTTGGTTTGAGCTGAGAGAGGCTCTCAGACCATTGTTTATCAATAATGTGGTCAGAGGGTGAGACCTGCGTTGGAACAACCTGGGAAAGGGTTTGGTGGTTGAAAATGTAGATTCCTGGCCCCCACTCCAATGGGATTCCTTGATAATCAGGCCCAGAACACTGTTTTAGAAACATAGTTGCCCAGGTGATTCTGATGCATGTAGGTATAGGTTCTGAAGGAATGAGGACAAGGACCTTGCTCAACTTCCAGGCCCAAGAACAGTGCCTGACGCAAGTGTACACTGCACATCTGTTGAGTGGGTGAGTTCTAGGGCTCAGTTTTCTGCTGTTCATCTGCTGTTGCTTAGGGAATCTTATTAGAATTTAATACAAAATAAGAGTATAATGTATCTAAGTGACAGGTTAGGACTGCCCCTCTGTGTAAATTCCTTGAACTTCAGAATGCTAAAGTGACCCACTTTTTTTACATCCCAGAGTTTTGTTTTATTAGGTTATTAAGAATGAAATGCTTAAGTGCCGATTTCCTTAAATACTAAGCCTGACAGTTGATATCTCTGACGTTTCAGTTTGACACTTTTTAATTTTTATGGTGAAGGTACATCCTCATTCTTTCAAATGCCTGGTTTGGCTTATGATTATCTTTTAAGTGTTTTCTTTTAGAGCAATTTTTGTGAAACCATGGATAAGTCAAAAATTCATGTTACTTTTGAATATCAGTTCCTTTGTGAAACCAATACTGCACAGACAACTCCATATAGCAACACAGTGTTTGGGAAGGATGTGGCTAATGAATGCATAGTATGTCAATGGTTTGAGAAGTTATGTTCTGGTCATTTTAATCTTGAAAATGACCCATGTGGGTAACATGCAACCAAGGTGAATAATAATGATCTGGAAGCTGTAGTGCAAGTGAATCCATCTCAACCTATGCATGAATTAGCAGCAAGGTTTGACATTACTATTTGAACAACATTGAACCATTTGAAACAAATGGGCAAGGTAAAGAAGCTGGATAAATGGGTACCACACGAATTAAATGAGCACCACATGAATTAAATGAGCATCAGAAGAGAAATCATCTGGAAGCTGGCCTTTCTTTTTTGTCATGACATAAAGGTGAACCATTTCTACACCATATTGTTACATGTGTTGAAAAATGGATCCTTTTTGACATTTGCAAGCATTCAGCACAATGGTTAGATAAAGGTGAAGTGCTGAAACAGTCCAAAACTGAATATTCATCAAAAACAGCTAATGGTGTCTGTTTGGTGGTCCAGTACTGGTATTATCCACTAGCTTCATGAAATCTGGTCAATCATTTACAGCAGATGTCTACTGCAACCTCTTGGAAGGTATGATGAGGATGCTTGCTATTCAGCAGCTGAGAATGGTCAACAGAGACAGGCCAATCCCCTTACAAGATAATGCTTGACCACATGTTGCACAAACAATGCTGCTCAAACTATAGAGGCCATGCTTGGAAACTCTGTTATCCACTATATTCACCACACCTTGCACCAACTGACTACCACTTCTTCCAGGCTTTGGACCACTTCTTGCTTGTTTAATTCCCAACAAGCTGTGGAAAATGCCTTTTATGGTTTCATCACCACTTGCTCTCCAGGCTTGTTTGCTGCTGGCATAAACAAGCTACCATTAAGATGGCAAAACTGTATTGGTAGTTTAGATGCATACTTTGATTAATTGTACTGCTTCTTGTTTGAGATACCATAAACTACACTTTTGATTTGAAATCTGACATTTCATATTTAATGACCTAAAATATTTTCTATCTGGCACAAGCTACATAAATGGTAAATGGCTATAAGTTGGATTCCTTGTTTTTAACTATGGTCTAAATAAAGTTGCTTTAAAAATGAGGAGCTTCTCTGTTACATTGACCTTCATATTTGAACCATTTTGAAAGATTAATTCCCAAATTTTTCTTAGCTAAGTAAGATGAGGCTATTCAGAAAGGCAAGTAGTTTTATTTGTGCCTACGTGTGATTATGATTCCTGCCCCTCACCCCCTGCTGTGAGCAAAATGTGTGCTTTCTAAAAATATTTCTATTGAAATATCCCTGAGTCCCAAAGGAGGTTAAATTGTGAGCAAACAATAGGAATGGATCGTCATTTTCATGAAGTTAGAGATGAACATGATTCTCTTTTCCCCATTTTTAAGAGTATGAAAGTACCATTCCAAGCCTTTTGAGTCTTTTCTGTTATTTATTTTTTACTAAGTAGACATCTAAGTATCTGGTGTTTCAAGTATCTTTTGCTACTGTGTTCTTATTTTTTTAAGTCCACAGAAAATGAGCTTGTTACTTTGAGTAATTTTTTCCTACCAGCCCCATTCCCTGCTTTATATCTTTAGAAAAAGGTGGTGGCGGAATAGGGATGGCTTGTATATTCTTTCAAGAGACTTACATACTACCCCATTAGGCAAAAAGATTAATATGTTCCAGTGGAATAGTGTTTTCTACTGTGAAGGTAAGCAGGCACAAATGAAAATTCTGTTATATTCTTTTTATTCCCTTCACAAATGATATTTGCTTGCCTTTACTGTACCAGACACAGTGCTAGGCTCTGGAATATAGACATGAATAATATATTTTCTGAATTTCATATTTTCTGAAGTTCATATTTAAGTTGGGCAAATGGACAACCAGCCGTTACAGTAAGGAGCAGTAAATAAATGTAGGAGAGGTATTACTGAGTGCAGTAGGAGCACAAAAATATATAAGCAAAACTGGAACTCAGTGGGTAAAGGATTAAGAGTCAGGTAGAGAAGGATGTTGCAGGCAGGGGAAGAAAGTGGTTTGCTAGACTGTGAACTTGGCATAGTTTAGCAATATTAAGTGGTTTCATGTGACAGGTGTATCCGGATCCAGGTCATGAATAACTCTCTATATTTATGCTAAGGACTCTTCATTTTATTCTTCAACTGACAGAGATTTGTTGAAGGATTTTTGAACCCAAGAATGTCATGATGATATTATCTCTCACTTTGACAACCATGGGAAAAATGGATGGAAGCAGAGCAATTCTAATGATACAAGAAGGGATTCTAATGATGTAGAAAAGAAGTGTTAAAATCATTAACTAAAGCAATGATTTTTATCGCTAAACCAAAAGTTTAAAATGTGCTATTTGCTTTAAAACTCAACACATTTTAAAATTTTGATTTAGCAAATAAGAATCATGGAACTTAAATATGGGAAATAAATTCCAGGGTTTTAAGTGTCAAATAATATTCCTTTTTGTGATTTTAGCTTTCAGTTCTTTTATTGTTTGTTCAATACTTATGTGCTGATTTACTGCTATGTTTTTCTGGAATTTTTGTGTGTGTTTGTAGTGTACTTGGAAGTAATTGCAGCTACTTGAAAAGACCGAGTTCTGCCTTAATCCCATGAACTCAGAGCTGCATTTTCTGCAGAGCTTTTACCATTTTACCATTTTCATTTACAGTCTCAGGCAGTATGTTTATAGAAAGCTTTGTAAACACTCTAAATTAAGTAGAATTTTTGGGAATCCTGAAGCAAGATTCTACAAAGAGTCTAAATGGTGGTTGAATGTTTACATAGTTTTTAGGTAGGTTATTCAAAATAGATTATAGTTAGAGAATTTACTTATGAAATTGTCAAGATCAGTAGTGTTCTTAATTATACCCCAAAGCGTTGTAATGTGCTATTTTTACATGTATTTTGCAAGTCTGTTTTTGTTGATTTGAACTTTAAATAGACCAGTGTCAATTCACATTTAATTTAAAAAAATTAGTTGTAAACAATCATGTGGCAAGAGATAAGACTAGTAAAATAATAAAAAAAGATAAGAACCTACTCATTTTTAAACTAGCAACCACTGAGACATTCTTATTTTTTATATATATATATATATATGTGTGTGTGTGTGTGTGTGTGTGTGTGTGTGTGTATGGGTTATAATTCTATAATATTGTTTTTTACTTTTTTCCTCTGATTTTTCCTGTAGAATTATTCATGTGTTTAGCACACAGCTCACATTTATTTATTTATGTTTTACATACTTGCTTTTCCTATTGACAGTTAAAAGCTTTAGGGGTCTGGCCTGTCTCATTGGTCCATATGTTCCTACATAGAGTCTGGGACTTAATTACATTTTAATCCATTGTCTTTTCCAAGTGTATATGACCTATCTTCTGTTCCTGCCCGGATACTCCAAATAATGGCACTGGATCTTATGGATACAAAATCTAAGTAGCATAAATCCTATCCTCTCTTTCCATCTGCTTTGGGATGGCCTTCCCCTGATCTGAGCTATAGGCATTTCCTCCTTTATGGTCCCTCCACTACCAGTGAGCAGGATCCCACCATCTCGTCCACTCTCAGTCACCTTCCTGCTTACATTTGTCCCCTGCTTGAAGTCTTTGAAGGCTTTTCCCACTGCATGTGAGACAAGGATCAAATTCTGTAATGGGTCAGACCAGTTCTACTTAGACTGGCACACACTAACCTCTGGTCTCATTCTCATCTCTTGCAGGATTACCTCTGCCTGTCACAAGTTCTATGCTCCAAACTTATGTTAAAAACAAACAAAACGTGGTTTTGCGAAAATGCCATATTCTCTATTACTCTCTGCCTTTGTCCCTCTTTTGAGGGCACTTTACTGAGTAGGCAAAATCAGTTGTTCCTTATTTCTTCTATGCTCCACAGTATTTTGTTCATTCAGCAGTTATAGCTCTTACCAAACTGTATTGTTAAAAGTTTGTGTATCACTTAGTAATATCTCAAGAATGGAAAAACCAGCACCATATGTACTCACTAGCAAATTGGTATTAACAGATCAACACCTAAGTGGACATATAGGAATAACATTTATTGGGTGTCGGGCAAGTGGGAGGGGGGAGGAAGGGATGGGTATATACAACACAACGAGTAAGATGTGCAACGTTTGGGGGATGGACATGCTTGAAGCTCTTACTCGAGGGGGAAGGGGAGCCTGGGCAATATACGTAACTTTAACACTTGTACCCCCATAATATGCTGAAATAAAAAAAAAAAACAATTAAAAAAAAGTTTCTGTATCGGTTTCTACAACTAGACCGAGTTTCGTGAAGACCCAGACCTACTCATTTTTATATTCTTAAGGCGAAGCACAGTCTTTGGCAGTGGGGAGACATCTTTAGAGTGGAGCTACTTCAATGTGTCTCAGGTTGTGAAAGTATGAAAATGAGATAATGTATAAAAGCAGAGATAAATATTGAGATCTAAAATGCATACATGCTGATTAGCAAAGTAGTTTATGATGACATCTCATAAGGCACCTGTGAAGGTATTCCAGACAAAAGACAATTAAAAGTCACTATCTAGAAATCTGATTTTTAAGGTGCCATCTGGAACAATCTTGGGGATAGCTAAGCATGCATCTATTTTTGAGTATTCCCAGAATTTACTAGATGAACTTATGTGCTTATAATGATTTGCTGAATAGAAATGTGTTCTATTCCAAATAACACTCAGCATAGGCATTAAAAAAAGATCAAGCTGTGTAGAGCTTTAATATAAATAAAATCTTAGAGTGCTAGCACTTTCCAAGGTTATGATAGGCATACATTGGTGCTTCTTTATTCATATGTGTCATTACTGTGATGTTGATTATCAGTATGAGAAAATATGAAGCATAATGAACTCACAAAAATTTCTAAAGCCTGGATGAGCATTTTTGAATGTGTTTTTCAAGTTTAGAGATTCAAATCAATATATTCTTTTAGTATAACATTTTGTATATGAATCTTTGGACATTGCTGACAATGGGCCTTTCAATTTTTTGTTTATGGAAACTGTACGAGTTTAGTAATACTATTTTAATTTCAGAAGAAACTGTGGTTTTTATTTTTCAGTGTTGAAAATGAACCCATGAGCACAAGTCAGAAAAAGGAAAATGCACTTTCATCAGAAGCAGTAAAGGTACAGTTTTCAATTATTATTTATGTCAAGCAGATATTTTTAATTCCTGTTCATTTTTCCTTTTAGAGTCTATCATCTTATTTTACATTTTAAAATGAACACCATATTATTACTTTATGTGGAAATCCAGCCCAGCTCTGTGGGACACTTGCGTCATGAAATGGGAAGGGGGTGACAGGGGAGAAGGGCCCTGAGAAGGGAGTGTGCAGAGTTCTAGGCTCTGCCACTGACCAGTTGTGTGGTCTTCAGCTGAGGCATTTAACTTCTTTGTGCCCTAGTTTTCCAATTTGTAAATTGGATCACATGACCTCCACAGTCTTTTTTCCCTAGGAAGTTCAGGGATTTATGTCATGTTTTCTGAAATGCTATAGGCAGGTAATAGTACTTGGAGGGGGATAGAGGTTAATAGCATGTTCCTACATGTCCTTGCTACGTGTCGGATATGTTTGGTCAGCTCACGTATAAACTGTCCTTGGTTTCTACAGGACAAGCACATAAAATATATAAGCTATACACCTACCTAGAGAAATATCCATGAGTAGTTGAAAATCCTTGAAAATCACTAAACCTTGCAACCTCTTTTTTTATTCATAAGTGCTTTTCTAGAAATTTGAAGTTTCCAGTTTCTGGGTATGTGATCATGTTTTGGTAGCTGTCCCATAGTCGTGGCTTTTTGTCCCACTGCTTTCTTGTAACATGATTTGTGACAACCAGTCAAGGAGAAAGTTTGTACTTTCCAGGGATTTCAGAATATATTAACTTGGTCAGTGGAAAGACCAAAAATATCATCAGAATTCTTCATTACTGATGTTTGACATTTTATAAAACTATATAAAGTCCGAGTGCATTAAATATGGTAAAGATAAAGTTGTTTTCATTCTTTTTTCCGGCCTTTCCTGTCATAGTAAAACATATAAATATTTACTTTATTGAGAGAAAAAAGATCAGCACCGCCTTGCTTCCCTTTCCTTTGTCAATTTGGCTTCTAAATTCTGCTACGGATAGTTTTATAGTATCTCTCACCTACTTTTCTTCTGCAGCCAATTGTTAGCTGGCCTGCTGATTTACCATCGTATGGGCTCTGTAACTCCCTGCTCTTCTTCAGTTTTTGCTTGCCTTGAGTTGCTCAAGTTACTCAAGATTTTCACTTCTAATGCTACATATGAAACTTTGCCCTCGTGTTGTTTCTCAGGAAGGCCGTTACTTCTGAGATCTCAAACTTGGAAGTTTCCTTGGTTAACACATTTTGTCATTCCATCTCTCAATCCTTCATTGCCTTTTAACTCATTGTTGACCTTCCCCAAGCCTTTCTGCTTCCCTTGCTCCCTTCTTTTCTGCTGGTCTCTACTTGTTTCCCTATTCAGCCTCTATCTGCTGGTGTACTGTTTCAGCTATACTTTCACTAAAAACAAAACAAAACAAAAAAAACTTCAGTCTTCAAATTTGGATAAGTTCACCTTCTTATTTACAACAGTCCTGTTTTCTAGAGATTTTCTCTAGAAAGTCACATCTTTGTGGATTCAGTAACTATATTAGTTTATTAAGTATGAAATGTCCAATTTCCTTAAGTACTAAGTTTGACAGTGTTGACATCTCTGACATTTCACCTTGACACTCTTGTTTTATGTTTATTGTGAAGGTACATTCTCAGTCTTTCAAACACATGGTTTGGCTTGTGATTATCTTTCACAAAATTTTTAGAGCAATTTTTGTGAAACCATGCATAAGTCAAAAATTCATGTTATTTTTGAATATGAGTTCCATGGTGGAAGCAGTGCATCCCAGACAGCTCAAAATATCAATGAAGTGTTTGGGAAGGTTGTGGCTAATGAACAAACAGTATGTTAATTTTTTGGAGAAGTGCCATTCTAGTGATTTTAATCTTGAAAATGAGCCATGTGGGCAACCTGAGACTGAGGTGGATAATGATGAGCTGAAAGCTATAGTGGAAACAAATCCATTTCGACCAATGCATGAATTAGCAGCAAGGTTTGCCATTACTATTTTAATAAGATGAGACCATTTGAAATAAGTAGGCAAGGTAAAGAAGCTGGATAGATGGGTAACACGTGAATTAAGCGAGCATCAGAAGATAAATCGCCTCGAAGCTTGTCTTTCTTTGCTATTGTGGCATAAAGGCAAACCATTTCTATACCATATTGTTAATGTTATGAAAAATCGATTCTTTTTGACAATCACAAGCATTCGGCACAATGGTTGGATAATGGTGAACTACCCAAATACGGTCCAAAACCGAGTAATCATCAGAAACAACTAATGGTGTCAGTTTGGTGGTCCATTGCTGGTATTATACAATATAGCTTCATGAAGCCTGGTCAGTCGATTATAGCAGATGTCTGTTGCAACCAACTGGACGAAATAATGAGGATACTTGTGATAAAGCAGCTGAGATTGGTCAGTAGAGACAGGCCAATCCTCTTGCAAGACAACACTTGACCACATGTCACACAAACAATGCTGCTCAAACTACAGAGGCTGAACTTGGAAACTGTCATCCACCATATTCACCAGAACTTGGACCAAATGACTACCACCTCTAACTGGCTTTAGACCACTTATTGCAAGGAAAAATATTCAATTCTCAACAAGCTGTGGAAAATGCCTTTCACGATTTCATTGCCGTTTGCTCCCCAGGTTTCTTTGCTGCTGGCACAAACAAGCTACCATGAAGATGCTAAAACTGTGTTGATAGTTTAGGTGCATACTTTGATTAATTGTACTGCTTCTTGTTTGACATGTAATAAACTAAACAAACTTTTGATTAGAAATCGGACTTCTGGGCCTCCATGCTAACAATCTTTCCTATCCATTTTTAATGTCTTGGTCTTGCTAACAGCCTTTTCTGTTCATTCTTAATATCTTAGTTTTGGGTGCCCAGGATAATTTCATTTGGGAATCTGGGACCCTAAGTAAAAATCACTCACAGTCATGAGATTGTTTTTCTTATGTTTAAGGCTATAGGGTTACTTATACACAGACACTCTGGTGCTCTCTCCGGGGTAGCCTGAGCATTTTGGCCCATGTAACTATTTTTTTCTTTGGCCAATCTTCTGGAAACTACTGGAAGAATTCCTTCAACCTAGCCATGCAGACCCAGTTGTTCAGGGGTGGCTGCTACCAGGCATCAAAACAAATGTGTACTTTGGTAATGTCAACAGTCAGCCCCATGCCTTTAAAAAAAATGGTTAGCAATAACATTTATTATCTTGCTATTTTGAACAGTCTCAATTGAAAATTTTTCATTTAGCCAGTGGCATACAGCAATGCCATTTGTTTTATTTGTAATGGAGAGTTTCTTGAAGCAGCATTTTAGTGCAATTTGACATTTCTCACCATGCTTCTATCTTGTTTACCTGAATTTTATGTCTTTTGTGATAAGGAAAAAAATATGTAGCATTTTCAAGTCTGAATTATAACAGATTTAAGTATAATAAATATGGCCTTATATATGTTGTCTTTTTTGACCTTGAGATACCAAACCAAGATGACAAAAATTGTTGATTATAAGACAAGTTTGAGCTACAAAAATTAATTCTATTTTAAAATTAGAAACTACATTTTATATTCTCTTAACATCATTCAATTATTGATTCTTAAAATCCCACTTATGTGCTACATAAGTGTTGCTATTTTGCTAACATTGGAGCTACTTCTAATGCTTGGATCTGATCTTCTAGTGGAATATGTATTTTGTTTATATTCAGTTTTTATATCTAGCTGGAGAAGCTTCCAGATATTTAGTCCACATTCTACGTAGAACATTGTCTTGCTGCCTTAGACTCTTGCTGCATTCACATTCATTTTTATTTAAAAGAGAGGGAAGAGGGAAGAGATGTCATTATGCCCTGCTCCCTTTTATGTATTTCAGAGGAATATCCATCCCTTTCTTCCTTCCAAGGCTCAACTCCGTCAAGCCCCCACCCCAGCCTCAGCCCTATACCAACAGTGTTGGTGTCCTTATTTCCTGCCTTCTCTTGTGCCTTGCTTTCGCTGCTTCCATTTTTCCATCTTGACTAACTTCTTCCCATTGCCTCTGTTCTATGTGTTTCTCTCTTAATATATAATATTAAACACAATGTGTTTTTTTTTCTTTTTGTGGGTCTGATTTCCTTTCCTTTCAGTCTTTCATTCCACTTTACTCCTTTTACCCCAAAATTTCTTATGACAGTCTACATTAAGAACTGTTCAATTCTTAATGCTTTCTGATCTGTTTGTTTCTTTTCTAGTTCCCACCAACATGGTAAGCCTAATACTGTGCCTGGCACACATGTCATGGTTGCTGAATATGTAGTCATTGAATGAATGAAAGCCATTCCATGAAACCAATGCATTCGAGGTCACCAGTGACCTCTTGCTGACCACATTTAGTGGCCTTTCCTTAATTCTTATTCTTTTTTTTTTTTTTTTTTTTTTTTGAGACAGGGTCCAGGCTAGACTGCCATGGCATCATCACAGCTCACTGGAACCTCAAAGTCATAGGCTCAAGCAGTCCTCCTGCCTCAGCTTTCCCAAGTAGCTGGAACTACAGCCTTACATCACCATGCCCAGCTAATTTTTCTATTTTTTGTAGAGATGGGGATCTTTCTCTTGCTTAGCTGGTTTCAAACTCTTGGCCTCCAGTAATCGTTCCACCTCAGCCTTCCAAAGTGCTGGGATTATAGACGTGAGCCACTGTGCCCAGCCCATTAATTCTTATTCTGTTTAATCAGTTGAAACACTTGGTCTTCCAAATCTTACTCTCCTTTTTAAAAATTTTCAATTCCTACCTGTGGCTATTTCCTTCTCCATTTTTTTCACTAATTATCTTCTGGGTAACTAACCTATCATGTGAATAGGGGAAGGCTACAGACTGATATCCAGTCTGGGGAATCTGTTTATAGACTGAGGCTGTAAACCATGTATTACTGGCAGCCTGAATCTGCATAGTTCTGCATACACCCACAGATTTCTAAAGCAAGACTCATTCACCTATGTGGTAA